ATGGTCAACGTGACTTCCGCGTGGGCCTTCTTCATCTCATTATAATTGTGTATTTTATTATAATCCTTTTTTTGTTGCTCCAAGTCTTTTATCTTCACTTTCCAATGCACTCTACATAAATCTATTCCCTCTCTCAAGGGATTCAAATAATCATTTTTTAGCACATTTGTAATACTCCAAATACCCGTTTCATTGTGTTTATCTCTGATAAACAAGAATCTCAGTAAGTTCAGTGCAGTAATAACTTCGTCCGATATCTCCACTAAATCCGTCGAACTTCTGTATGGCAAATTACAAATCTTTTTCAATATCAACTCCAAATTCTTTCCTAGAAACTGGGGATTTCGTGGAGTCGAGTTAAGACAATCAATGATAGAAGATTTAAATATATTAATGATCAAGCTCAATAAACCAGAATGATCACTAATTTCGTACAAATATAAAATAACAGAATATCTAGCTTCCATATTGAATATCTCGATATACTTTTGAAAAATGTGTAATGCTTTTTTTCGTTCTGTATCTTCATTACAATAAATCATTACTTTAATAATTGGCTTAAATAAATCTGAATATATTTTTAGTCCCAACACTTTAGAATCTATAGACCGAGGTGAGATGCGGTTTATAACAGTTTCCATGAAAATTAATCCATTCGAGATTATTATGTCTTCCTCTTTGCAAAGCAAAATTTCAAAAAAATATGCGCATGTTTCAAGAATGTAATAAGGACTATAAATTTGTGGTGCTTTTTTCCAATAGTCTTTGTTGGTAAATATGTAACAATAAAAGTTAGCATAGGCCAAATTCGATACGTTATCACTTGATTCGAAAAGCATACTACGTTTATAACTTTCAGTGTATAAATGTCCATCTTGCACTTTGTTGCGGATGATATTTCTACGACGTTTGCTAACAATGTTCAAAAAATATAATATATCTTCAGTCAGATAAAATGACAGTGTTATTATTTTCTCTGAGAATTCTTTATATGTCGCTTCTTCAACAATGTTTTTGTTCCAGTAGTAGAAAGGCTTCTCGCACAGTGAAATGAGAAAGCTCAAAAGATAATCCCCAAACAGTGATCCCTCCTCGAGTTTAGAGTTGATCTTCACTGCTTCTTGCACCAATGGTTCCAAGAAAGATATGATGTCTTTATATACATTCACAATTCTATTGCTATCAGCATCGTGCAATGATGCTAAATCCTCGATGTATGACTTGATGGTATTGATACACCACTCAATAGCCTTGCTCTTGTCCTGCATTTTCATCATACATATACCTAGTGGTTCCAAGATGGTACAGAATTTAATATCGTTATCCGAACATTCTATTTGTTCTAGGAACTCCAGTACAGTTTCCATAGGATTACACCTCTCTGCTATGATGTTTAAGACATTCTTGCAGCATTCAAATAGTTCTTGTCTGGATTGCGAGTAAAATTCCGTAAGATAAGTAGCGGTGACAGACACAATCTCGCTTACAGAGTCCTCGATTACTTCATTGTCCTCCGTCATAAAAAGTTTCAGAGCTTCCTTAGGCTTATGATCCTCCAGAAAATCGGTGAAGCGCTTGATGAATATTTGCGACATTTTTCCGATTACGAAATATATTTTTAAAACATAGATAGCCGGCAAGAAAACACGTACAAATATTGCACACAGGCAAAATTGTTTTCCAAAAAATATTTTTCTCTGTATATGTGCGTATATATTTTATATTTTCAAATATATTGCTTTCTTCTTTCGATTAATTATTAACTATGTTTTTGTTTCTTAGCGATTAAATAGATGAAGTAGATGTATATTTCTTCTCTCTTCATCCTCTGGACACTCTGGAAACACTGGACACGACAAAATACCACGTGGCTTGCAAAACTGTTTTTGTGAGGTTACAAGTCCCTGCACAAGATCAGGGTATGTATATATTCTCATTGCACAGCTGATGCAAGAGAGAGAGAGAGAGAGAGAGAGAAAGAAAGCTTCAGTTGCTATCTTTTTATTCTCGATATAAAAGAATATTTACGAGTAGAATTTAGCGATGCGATTGCAACCGACGAGTAATTGTGACAGCAACTGAAAATTTTTTTGTAAAAAGAAAATAAATAAATGCAAAGGAAGAAGCAAAAAGAACAAAAATCGATAGCAGAGCAGCTAACACAGAAAAAATTATTTCAACATACTATGAACAAGTCGCTAGAATTCGCTTACCATCGGCTAATGGAAATCTGCTTCGCGCCGAACGAAAAGAATTAAGCATCGCCATATCGCCAGTTGAATTAGATATTAAATGTTATTAATTACTGAATAATTAAATGAACCGCGTGCGTTCATATTATTATTGTCTCCGTAGCGTGTTTGAATTTCGCGTAGTGGTTTCACACTCCGTGTAACGTACTAAGATTGCCACAATTTTCGAAATGCACTATAAGTGAGAATTAGGTTATCGCATAGATATATATAATATATTAGATATATTAGAATTTGGAATTTGGAATGAGGATGACGCATATTTTGATGATAATGAAGAAATACATTACATAATTCATTATTCATTAATGCGCGGTGAATATTGTTGGAAAGATAAAAACTGAGGTGAAAAATCTAAAGGTTTATTCTCTCGAACTCTTTCATGTATAGTGCATCGTTGATTGGTTGTAGCTTACTATTGCGATGAATGAATGCACACTAATGTCGTATTATCGGAACCGTCTGCTAGGTTTTTTGTATATTTGCGAATTGTACAGTGGAATTGTATTATTTGTCTTTTAACCTCAGATTTAGATGCTGCTGTGTCCGACATCAAATGTAATTTGAAATGCGTGATATTATTGTAATGTTTAATTACACCAAATAGAAAAAATACAATCCGAGAATTAAATTTATTTTAAAATGAATGACTCGGAGGAGGAAAATTACGTGACGTTTGGTGTTTCTCTCGAACCTTTGGATGAAGGTTTGTATGTGACGTGTAGATTAATTTTATGTAAGTTTATATTGTCTGATAGATTTATCATCTCGTATTTTTCTCTTTTACAGAAAATATTCCACGAAAAAAGCCTGTTACAATCGAAGATCAATACGCTTACGATGCCCAAGGTAGACGCAGATTTCATGGAGCGTTTACGGGTGGTTTTTCAGCGGGATACTTCAATACTGTCGGTACTCGCGATGGCTGGAGACCGCAGCACTTCAAGTCTTCAAGAAGTAGTAAAGCGGACAACGTTATTCAACGACCAGAAGATTTTATGGATGAAGAGGATACGAGTCTTTTCGGAATTGCTCCTAAAGGAATACAAGCTACTAGCGATTATGCCGATCATGGACAGAAGGGAAAGAAGAGAGAGAGGATAAGTCAAGACAATAACGGACCTATCCCTGGTGCTCCTGTCTTAAAGGAACTTTTAAAACCTGTCAAGTTAGTATTTGCAAAAACTAATAATGGTGATCTCTGCTATTGTTAAGTAATTATTTGTCATTTTTAATTGACGGAGAATTAATAGTACACCGACTATTTATCAATATATTTAATTTTTATTTATATATATTCATACATTTAGAGAGTCAAAGCTATATTAATCTTTGGTATTGCTTGTAATTGCAGAGAAACAATAGGTATTGTCCTGCTCAAGAAGATGGGCTGGAAACCTGGTCAGGGTGTAGGTTCTAGACTCACAAAGAAAGAAAAGCAAAAGATAAAGCAACGTAATGAAAAGTTAAAATTAATACAGGAAAATCCTGAAATGGCAGGAAGCAATTCAGAGGATTCGGATGATAATTCTACTAATATTACTTTCGCACCTGATGATTATGAGCCATTCAGGTGTAAGCCAAAGGACAATTATTTTGGCATCGGCTATTCGGGTCTAGACAGACGGAAAATTCTTTCCGGTCATATCAATCTATTCGATACTCCAGCGTTTTGTGTTCAAGATAAAAATAAGAAATTATCGATTCATGGCCAAGCATTTGGGGTTGGTGCGTTCGAAGCCGATGACGAAGATATATACGAAAGAGAAGATATGTCGCGTTACGACTTTGCCCTGGACCCCGAGCGTAAGACGAAGACAAGATGGTCGCAGGACGCTCCGACTAGCTCGCAAACCGATCGCTTGGACGGTTTCGTTCGCGCGAAGGAAAGATTAGCGAGCAAGAAAATCTTCAAACCGCCAGAATTGCCAAAGAATTTCGTGCCGGTGCACGCTGTTAGGAAAAGCAGATTCTATCCGCCGATTGCAATTCCGGTGGAAAATGGCAAACGCAGAGAGCCATTGAACGCTGTAGATAGGGCACGGATTTTAGAAGATCCCAATGAACGTTCAAAGAAGCCATCATCAAACATATCTGTTGCCTCGAATATCATTTCGAATACTTTAAATTTACATGGCAAACAGCAAACGGAGGAAAGAAGGAAATTGGAGAATCAACAGACAACGACAGGCAACTCATGGCTAGATAAATTAAATGCCAAAAACTTTGTCAAAGGTGGTGTTATAGGTCTCCAAGATGACACGGGTAGCTTGAAAACATTAGAAGATTTCAAAGAAACTGCTTCTGCATCCATACGTTCGAGCGCGGAAACGTCGACGGAACGTGACTCCTCGAGTAAAAACGAAAGAAGCGCAAAATTGTTCTCGTCCGATCCAGACAAACAGAGACGATTCGAGCAATATCTTATTTTCTCTAAAAACGATGAAAGGAATAAACTCGAGACTATTCAACCACTTTCCATGACCGATTGGGAGAGAGAACAAGAACGTACGGAATTCGAACAAGCGGCGAAGCTGGAGCAGTCGAATAATTATATGGTGGATAAGTTTATACATAGCGCTGATGCTGATCACAAGATGGACGAGACGGATCCGGAGAAGGATATAAAGGAAGCAATAAGACTGAAAATGTTTGGCAAACTTACGCGAGAGCGAAGCGAATGGAAGCCCGCGAGTATTGTTTGTAAGAGATTCAATATTCCCGAACCGAAAGTCGGTTGCGCTCCGGTCGCGACGGATCGAAAATCGGCGAGATTCTCCGTTTTTGATTCCTTAGATTGGTGTAATTCATCCAAGTTCACGAAAGCTACGGAACAACAGCGAATACAAGTGGAAGAAGCGTCTCTACTGTCAAAGAAAACAAAAGAGAATGCAAACAAAGCAATTTCCGATACTGATAATATTTCGTCGAATGATTACCAATCTTCAGAGTCCGTTTCCGAGAAATTTAAAATCTTCGAAGCTTCCTACGAGAAAGTTTTTGGCAAGGGTATTCTTTCCACAGCATCGGAAAATGTTAAACAAGACGTGAGCGATAATTTAAAGGATAAAACAATCCAAGAAGTAGGAAATAAGCAAGAAATCGGATCGGAAACTGCAGTTAAAGATCAATCAAATGAGAAGAAGGATTTGTTTAAGGCAATTTTCCTTAGCAGCAGCGAAGATTCCGAGGACAGCGAATCGGAAGAAAATGTTGACAACGAAATGGTCAAGTCGATCTTAATCGGGAAAGATCCGAAAGAAATAAACACCCAAAGAAATATGTCGCCGCCGCGCGGTATCTTCGCAAAATTGGATCTTGATAGCTTGGTGGTGCATCCAAAACAGGTTAATGACGAAAGTACAGCTTCCAAGATTTCGGAAACCAGTTTACCAACGTCTGATGAAATGCGAAACAATCTCGCGGATTGTAATGATGTAATCGATGCTGCGGAGGCCGCGATACCACCAGATATGTACGGTCCGATTCTGCCACAAAGGTTGTTAAAGCAGGAAAGTATTGCGACAACAGAGGCCGGCAGCACGGACCAATCGCTAAAGCCAGTATTTCGCAGTGTCGTGGTATCAAAAACTGCGGATTCGATACCCGGCGGGAAATGGGTAGAACGGGACAAGGCGAAAAAATTAAAGAAAGAAAAGAAGAAGCATAAACATAAAGATCATAAGAGCCCCAAGCACAAGAAAAAATCTAAGAAAGAGAAACGTTCGAAACATTAATTTCTGTTTATTTTTATCCCTAATTCCAAGCTTCATATTGTGAAACGATTTACATGTTAAAATAATTGTACATAAAGACGTCCGAGCTTCTAAAACTCACGCTCCACTAAAACCGTATTATTTTATAGTGAATTTCATTAAACACATATGCACTTATTTTTCTATATATATGGTAGGCACATCTGTAATATAGACTGAGAATATATAATATTTGACTTGAGTTCTATATTTGAATGTCTTATGTAAGTAAGATTTAAAATTATTAGATAATTACAGAAGATAACAAAGGTCCGATTGCAATTCCGGTGGAAAATGGCAAACGCAGAGAGCCATTGAACGCTGTAGATAGGGCACGGATTTTAGAAGATCCCAATGAACGTTCAAAGAAGCCATCATCAAACATATCTGTTGCCTCGAATATCATTTCGAATACTTTAAATTTACATGGCAAACAGCAAACGGAGGAAAGAAGGAAATTGGAGAATCAACAGACAACGACAGGCAACTCATGGCTAGATAAATTAAATGCCAAAAACTTTGTCAAAGGTGGTGTTATAGGTCTCCAAGATGACACGGGTAGCTTGAAAACATTAGAAGATTTCAAAGAAACTGCTTCTGCATCCATACGTTCGAGCGCGGAAACGTCGACGGAACGTGACTCCTCGAGTAAAAACGAAAGAAGCGCAAAATTGTTCTCGTCCGATCCAGACAAACAGAGACGATTCGAGCAATATCTTATTTTCTCTAAAAACGATGAAAGGAATAAACTCGAGACTATTCAACCACTTTCCATGACCGATTGGGAGAGAGAACAAGAACGTACGGAATTCGAACAAGCGGCGAAGCTGGAGCAGTCGAATAATTATATGGTGGATAAGTTTATACATAGCGCTGATGCTGATCACAAGATGGACGAGACGGATCCGGAGAAGGATATAAAGGAAGCAATAAGACTGAAAATGTTTGGCAAACTTACGCGAGAGCGAAGCGAATGGAAGCCCGCGAGTATTGTTTGTAAGAGATTCAATATTCCCGAACCGAAAGTCGGTTGCGCTCCGGTCGCGACGGATCGAAAATCGGCGAGATTCTCCGTTTTTGATTCCTTAGATTGGTGTAATTCATCCAAGTTCACGAAAGCTACGGAACAACAGCGAATACAAGTGGAAGAAGCGTCTCTACTGTCAAAGAAAACAAAAGAGAATGCAAACAAAGCAATTTCCGATACTGATAATATTTCGTCGAATGATTACCAATCTTCAGAGTCCGTTTCCGAGAAATTTAAAATCTTCGAAGCTTCCTACGAGAAAGTTTTTGGCAAGGGTATTCTTTCCACAGCATCGGAAAATGTTAAACAAGACGTGAGCGATAATTTAAAGGATAAAACAATCCAAGAAGTAGGAAATAAGCAAGAAATCGGATCGGAAACTGCAGTTAAAGATCAATCAAATGAGAAGAAGGATTTGTTTAAGGCAATTTTCCTTAGCAGCAGCGAAGATTCCGAGGACAGCGAATCGGAAGAAAATGTTGACAACGAAATGGTCAAGTCGATCTTAATCGGGAAAGATCCGAAAGAAATAAACACCCAAAGAAATATGTCGCCGCCGCGCGGTATCTTCGCAAAATTGGATCTTGATAGCTTGGTGGTGCATCCAAAACAGGTTAATGACGAAAGTACAGCTTCCAAGATTTCGGAAACCAGTTTACCAACGTCTGATGAAATGCGAAACAATCTCGCGGATTGTAATGATGTAATCGATGCTGCGGAGGCCGCGATACCACCAGATATGTACGGTCCGATTCTGCCACAAAGGTTGTTAAAGCAGGAAAGTATTGCGACAACAGAGGCCGGCAGCACGGACCAATCGCTAAAGCCAGTATTTCGCAGTGTCGTGGTATCAAAAACTGCGGATTCGATACCCGGCGGGAAATGGGTAGAACGGGACAAGGCGAAAAAATTAAAGAAAGAAAAGAAGAAGCATAAACATAAAGATCATAAGAGCCCCAAGCACAAGAAAAAATCTAAGAAAGAGAAACGTTCGAAACATTAATTTCTGTTTATTTTTATCCCTAATTCCAAGCTTCATATTGTGAAACGATTTACATGTTAAAATAATTGTACATAAAGACGTCCGAGCTTCTAAAACTCACGCTCCACTAAAACCGTATTATTTTATAGTGAATTTCATTAAACACATATGCACTTATTTTTCTATATATATGGTAGGCACATCTGTAATATAGACTGAGAATATATAATATTTGACTTGAGTTCTATATTTGAATGTCTTATGTAAGTAAGATTTAAAATTATTAGATAATCTTTTTGAAATACAGAAGATAACAAAGGTTTTATTATATGTTGAATTTATATAAATGAAGACACTTTGTCCATAGATGCTGCTGGTTGCGCGAAATGCAATGTTAGCTGTTCGTTTTGGTTATAAAGACTGGTAGTGAAAACTTTCTGGTGCAAATGGCTTTAAAATAAATCAATAACTTCTAGATACAGCCCCAGGTAACTTTATATATTATATTTTCCAAATGATTGCGTATTATACACGTGTATAAGGATATGTACATATGTTTTACACTCACTTATGATCATGCACGGATCGTTTTCGATTTGCGTGCTTTTCTGTGAAAAAATTACATAAAGTGAATGAATTAAATAGAGACTACTTATACTGGATATTAAGACGACATAGATGACAAGGATTAAATAAATCTATTGTGTTCTCGATATGCAAGAATATTATACATGTATATATGTATTTTTCTATTCTTTGCAAAAACTTAAACGTAGACTCTTTACATATACCATCTGATATTCATCGTATGTAGATATGTACCTTAAGCGTACGTAATTTTATGCATACCTGATACCGACTATACTCTCTCTGAGTATACAGTATCTAAATACGAATTTGAGCAGTCTGCCTTTTTATTATATTTTCGAATATAATACTATATTTTCGGGAAACAATAATCATGATGTTTAGATAAAGTATTAAATCCTTTAGTAAAATTGCACATACGAGATTATTAATCTGATGTCATGGAATTCCTAGAAGCAGGTCTACTGGAATTACCAGTTTTTTTGTCTACACTGAAAAGGCATTGCAACATGATTATCTTCACTTTTTAATAAATTTGTATAATTTTAACACATTTATTAAACAATAACTCAATTCTTTTTTTACATACCTGCTGCTTCTTGAACCTCTTTTGAACATAGCTGTTAACTTTTTCTTTAAATTTTTCTTTTCCATCTTACTGCTTTCATTGATGCTGGTTTCAGAACCAGATGTCTGTCAAGTATTCGATTATTTTAATAAATTATGTTTTATATGAATAAAAAAAAATAGTTTCAAATATTTAAATCTTTTCTTGCCTGGAGCGAGTAGTCGGTCATGTTCGGGTCATCTACACTAGACGATTTAGTTAACTTATGTGTTAATTTTCGTATTATCCCTTTACCATATTTTTTGTCCCGGTCTAACATTTCGCTCTTTGTCGATCCTCCGGAAAGACGGCTAAACAATAGTAACAATAGCAAACTTTATTTAAAAGTATTTGCTATTTTATCAATGTTACGAGTATGAGCCGAAAAGTATGTAATATAAATATATAATATGTGTAATATTCGGTATACCTGTCTACGCTGGAATCTCTCTGTAAACTAGCTCCGCGAGAATCAATTTCCGATCCCTCCAACGATTGCATGCTCGACAAGTTGCTATCGGTGCCCCAAATAGCTGGAGACTAAATTTTTTGGATGCAAAAGTGAGTAATTATTATCAAGAAGAGATTTCAATAATAAATTATCATATTTTGAATTATAATTTTATAATGGATGCTGCATATACATAAATTTATTTAGACATAGAATTGTATTTAGAATCGAAATTTTTCTCAGTATAGTTATAAAAAATTACACAACTAATAAAGATATAAAAAATTATATTTGTATGCGACGCATTTATTTCATACAAAAGAATTAGATATTTCTCATATTTCATGAAAGATTTTTCTGTATATGAAACAATTTGTACTCACCTCCTGACGCCCAGATGTTTGTTCCAAGGAGAGACTCTTTCTCTTTAAACGTGGTTTAGTACGATTCAATACCATTCCTTTTCCTGGATCACTCTCTACTGACGTTGATCTAAAGATCAGCAAAAATATAATATTTTTTTGTATTCTTGAAAATTTGCAAGAGAGATATATGATCGAATATATAAACAACTACAAAGCTCACCTCTTTCCCATTTTTTTCAATCGCATTGCATTCGTTTCATCTGTCATTTTCTTCGATTCTTTAAGTTCCTTTGCTACGCCCATTAATTTTTTAATAGTGTACTCTAATTTTTCTGTTCTTTCTCCGAGTATTGATGTTCCAACTGCAAATGTTTGTGTATAATTTAATTTAATATAATTATTTTAATTTAATATCATAATTTTAATATTATTTAATTAATTATACGAATGTTCATATTTATGCCTTTAATCGTCTCGGCGGAGTTGGTGTATATGTATCGGGCGTTCCATTTTCTGTTATATTAGTATTTAATTCAGGAAACAATTGTAGTAAATCCTGAACTCGTTGCATAAGAGTATTGATGTTGCGCAGCTCAGTTTGCTCCAATTTACATTTGTTTAATATCACTTCTTTGAGTTCCTGTCTCTCCTTTTCGTGCCGCTCTTTCTCGCGTCTCATCTTCTCATTACTCGTTCTTAATTTCGCATGCGCGTCCCTCAGCTCAAGTAGATCGCATTGCAGCTAGATCGATCATTGCAGTCACGATTAAGAAAATAAGAATTATTGTCTCTATTTTTTAATAATTATATTTTAAAAGTATACTTTCAAATGTTTAAGTCAGTAATAGAGTATCTAAATTATACCTCTAATAATTTTTTCTTATTCTCTTCCTTTTCTTCGTCGAATACTTTCTTTAATTGATCTTGTCTCCTTTTATTTTCAAGTCGCTCTTTACTACGTTCTCTCTCTATCTGTAAATTAGCATTTGTAGATGTGTAAAAAATCTGCGAATTGACTATGTTATCTGATTTATGCATTAAATTGTGCTAATCATTACTTCAAACAATGTTTGCCGCAAATCTCGCGCTAGCGTTGCCGTTTCCTGTAGCAATCTTTGATGTTCTTCTCTCTCTTTCTGCCAAGCTAACTCCATTCGCACTTTCAATCCTGGAATTTTCGAACGTCCGCTTGTAAGCAATCGCTCCTCCTCCAACTGCAATTGCAAGAAATGAATATGAATATAAGCAGATTTGCAAATGTATTATTTACATTTATTTATTTCTTAATTACCTCATTAATTCGGGATTGCAATTCGGAGACTTTAACGTGACTAGCAGATTTTTCCGAAACCAATTCAGCCTTTAACCTGGAAGCTTCCAATCTTGTTTCAGAAAGTTCATCTTCCATGCAACTGATTTGTTTTTCTAGCACTAACACATTAGCTCTAGATGATTCTTCATCCTTAAAGAACAGAAAAATTTATATATATATATATAACATAATATTTCATAAATATATAGTTGATGTTATGTTAATATAGAAAAATAATTTTACGCGAAAAGAATTGTCAATATTAAAAAATGTTAACATAAGATACACAAAAAAGTATCTTGATGTTAAATTGCATCATTAGCTGCTTACCTCGTCCGACTTTCCAGAGGATGCATTGGATAGTCTGCCTTGTCTCGTGGACTTTAGGTCGCCTATAGTTTTCTGCGCACCTTCCAACATGTGTTTGTAAGTATCACGTTCGCGTTTGTATCGTGATAATTGATTTTGGATTGCCTGTATCTCATCGTTGATCGCCGTAATCCTATGCTCGTAGCGCATTTTACATTGCGCCAAGTCCGCCTTCTTGGCTTTCTCCATATTTGTCAAAGCATTCTTTAATTTTCGAATTTCGGATTCTAATGCTGTAGTATCGGGTGTCAATACTTGATGAATTTTTGATACTGCTTCATAATCTTTCAATTTTGCAGATAAGTCGTCATTCTACAAATTAAAATAATAGAAATTTATATTTATAAAATAAATATAAGAGAAAGAAACAATATATAAAAGCAAGAAGATATGTGGAATGATGAGATTCCATGTATTTTCGAGGTGACGGGAAATTAGATATAATACGTACTTACCATTTTCCTTACATCTTCCAATCGTTCCAATAAAGTGGCATTTTCTTTCTTTAATGTATTAATTTCATCATTTAATTCTACCACAATAATTTTATTCGGTAACTGATTCTCACGGATTTGGCTCTAAAATTATGAACCAAAAAAAATGAGAGTTTTGAATGAGATTTGTAATAATGTATACCATAACATTTAAACAATAATAAAGCTTATATACCTCTAGAGCAGATTTCTCTAATCGCCACTCGTTTTCTCTCGTTTTCATCGAGTTACGTAACTCATCAAGTTCTGTTTGAATACTTTTTAAATCATTTTTATACTCCGAACATTTGCTATAATAAAACGTAAGATTAAATAAAGAAAGTTACACGAAGCATTGACTATTGTTGACAGTGAATTCTTACTCCTCACATAGTTAGTGTCGAATTGCTGTTTACCTATTCAAAGATTCATTTTCTCTTTCAAGTTGTAGCTTTGAGTTCATAAGCTCTTGATATTTGTTAGTTAGAGTCTCTTGATCTTGTTGTTGTTTTTTAATGTCATTCTCGAGATCTGAAAATTTTATCGCATGTAATAAATTTAGAGGACAAATTTAAAAGTAAAGAGATAAAATTCAGAATAAAATATTTAATATAATATTTTTTGATACTGTACTTAAAATTTTCTCATTGTAAGTCTGTTTCATCTCATTCATGCGCTTCGTATTTTGCCCGGCTTTTTCTAAGGAAGCTATTTTTTTCTTGAGTGCCGTTATTTCGGTTTCTTTCGCTTCTTTCTCATTGTCAAGTTGTGATGTTAATTTTTCACTTTCTTGTTTAAGCTTCGCAATTTCTGCACTTAGATCTGTGATTTTTGTTGATGTGGTAGATTTTGAATTCTCTAATTCTTTCTTCAAACGTTTCACCTCAGCATCGAGTTTAGTTTTTGTCTGTTCCATCTATTTTTACCGAAAAAAATAAAACACGATTGTGTCAGATATATCTGAGAGAATATATTATATATAGGATCATAATTAAAAATTTTTAATATACTATAAAAAAATATTAGATTAGACATCAAAATAAAAAAAAATATACTTACAGATGTTATAGATTGCGACATTTTCGATTCTTTTTCGTTATACGATGACAAATCATTCTGTAATCGTTTACACTTTTCTTGCTCTTGTGATAGTTTTTCTTTTAAATCATTTATTATTTCTTCCATCTTTGTACTATTTTTCTCCGATGACTTAGCAGTTTCTATAGTAAAAAAATTGTGTTATGTACAATTTATATTCACATATACATATATGCATATATGTATACATAAACGTATATATAGTGCATAAATAAAAATATTGAATATTTATTGAAGAAACCGCAATTTTATAATTAGATCACAAATATAATGTAAGTTTTACCGAAGTCTTTTTTTAGTTGTACAACCTCATTATAAATTTTTAATTTCTCAGCTGATAGCGACAAGAGTTTCGATTTCAACTTTTCTTTCTCTTCCAAAAGCGCCAGTTTCTCTTTGTCCCATGCTTTTCTTTCAACTTCTCGTAAAGTAGTTGTTTCGTCTAACTTTTTTTTCACTGTAATAGAATTTAGATATTAGATGCGTTTAATCATCTGTATAATTCTAAATTGATTGATTTACCATTTTGTAAATCCAAATTTTTAGTATCTTCTACTTTAACATTTGATTGAACTTTTTTCTTTTCCTTTTCACTGGCCAATTCTTTCATAGCAGACTCGAGTTTTTCTTTAAGCAGTTCATATTCCTTTAGAAGTTTATCGTACTTTAAATTATTATCTTTCGGCTTCACATCCGGTATATCCACATTGTGTCCGTTTTTAATGTTGGAGAAGAGATTCAGCATGTCTTCTAAAGAGTGTTGGTAATTGTTCGGAATATTAATATGAAATGTGTTTGATTTTAGCAAAATTTATAAAAGTGCAACAAACCCATTTCCTTCTCCATTTCATCAACCATCTTTTTGAGTTGCATTTTTGTTGTGGAGTCTGTTGCTTTCTTTTGCGTTCTCTCCTGGAATGCGTTACTTACTTTTTGCAGAATTTCTTCTGTTTTCTTCATCTAAGATAAGGATAAGAGATAAGATAGAAAGATTTTACAATATAGATTTACAATCAATCTCTAGTGAATATAATTATGTATAGAATACAAAAAACAAAATTATTTTATATATATTTGTTATTCTTTTAATATTAGTTTAATAATATTTTTTTTAGTTTTTTAATATTATATTTACCTCATCATATTTTTTCTCTAGTGTGGATCGTTCATTTTCTAATTCTTCAGTTTTGCGTTCTACTTTCCTCAGTTTGAACGATAATATTCGGCAATTTTTGTTTGACTGCTCCAAACTTTTTCGCAAACGGGTATACTCGTCTGCTTGTTCATCCCTTATGTATGAAAATTATATTCGTATAAATAACATATATTGCACTGCGATATGTGCAGTGTAACCATTGGAATTTTGTCGTATTTAAGTATCTCTGTTCCTTACAAACGCGTATGAAAAAATGTGATACAAAATTTACGAAAGAAAAAAAAGTATGACATTTCACATAGAGCTGTTTAAAAATCCAAAAAAAGCTTGTGAAATTTTAATGTAATTCTCTCATTGTCTCTTCGTTTATACATTTTTTGAGTCCCGTTTGCAAAAAGTAAATGTGATCCCACAAAAAGCAAAAAATAATAAAAAATTTATTAATTTTACATAAGCTCGATTACCAAAGAAGGATACCCCACGGTTCCGTATTTGACGAAATACGAGGGTGTCATCGTGTTAGGATCACATACGTCGCAAATCTGTCCAAATCGTCGTCCTGCAACAATCCATATAGCTCATTTTGCAAAAGATTTTGATCTTTTTGTTCGAGGCACATTTCATTGCCGACATATATAAATTTTCAAATTTTTACATGAAACACAGTTCAATTTTGTATACGAAATATTATTTTGCATTGTCCTGTGTATAAAAATGTTCGTGTGAATAAAGATTTTGAACATTAAAAATCTTTTTGCAAAAAATGATATACAGCAATAACCTTTACCAAAAGGAACAGAGATACCGATCTTTTGATAAACATATAAGAAACAATGTTAAAGAACGTCAGTTAACAGAATCATTCATTACATACAGAAACAATAACGAGTCGTACTTCATAATTAGTAATGGTTCAAGTAAAACATCGTCAACATATTAGTCACCTATGTAAATTCTGTAATATTAAAGATTGCCATTGTTATAGACGATAATTTTAAAACAAAACTATAAAGCTATAGTATTTTTATTAAATTGATTTATCTTACACATATCATAAAGCAACATATATATAATGAATGTTTTTAATAAAGTGATATATAAAAATGGATGAAATAATGTTATTAAATGTAAAATAATATAGATTGTAATTCTCTGAAAAGTACAACAGATAACATGCATAATACATCACAAAGCGGAATAGTAGGATACTTAATGGTATTTTTTATAACGCAACAGAATGTAATACCTAAAATTATCCTGCAACTCATAAATCTCTTCTTCTAATTGTCTAATTTCTTTTTTCATATCCTCGTTTTCGTCCATTAAACTTTCACAAAGATTTTCCGCCGCCTTAAGTTTCGAATGTAATTCGTCATGCGTTTTGTCCCTTTCACCCCTGTACGGTCTACTAATTGTTTCTTTCTCCAAATTTTTTATCTTTGTCAATAATGCATTTTTCTCTTGTACAAGTGCTAAAACACGAATATGATATATGATGATTAAATTTAAACAAATTTTTCAAGCACGATAAGCGAAATAAAGAATATTATTTTTAATGTAGAGAAAAAGAATTTTTCTATTTAATGCACTTTTTGCAAAATTGAGAAACTAATACCTTCATTTTTCTTTTGTAGTTTCGCCACTTCGCTCGTCGATGTTTTGTTCGACATCGTCTCCATAGTCGACAATCGACGCATCAATATCTCGCTCTTTTCTTTTTCCGCCTTCTCGCATCTCGCTCTCATATCATTTAATTGGGACTTTAATTTCTCTATCTCATTCTGCGAGGGGTAAGCATAGCCAATAATTAATCGGAATTATGTTATTTACGTACTTAATTGTGTTTAATCCTCTCGGTTCTGACTTTTATAAATATAATCCATATGCGTTATATAAAACGTGACGGTATATATATAACGGTGGGTTTGTACTACAGTAATTCAATACGTTTTTATCGGTGCATTCTTATATATGCGAAGATTTCTTTTCTATCATATAAACGAGTCAGATTTAAGAGAAGATTAAAAATATGTATATATTTAATATAAATATCTGTATATAGAGGGATTTTGAAATCTTTTTTTAAACTTATTTTATATTATATACAGAAACGTAACTTCTGATTGTATAGAGAGTTAATATCTGGATAAGTTAATCAACATTTAAATGAACTAGTGCATTTAGTAAAAGTTTTTGATGGTATCGCATGTGCTTCATAAATGAAAACATTATGAAGCTGGTGTATATACAAGTGCATACAATGATACACGATGGACGACATGTATTATAATTATTATTAATTGCAAGATAATTCGTGTACGTCAAAGTAACCAGAGCGATGGTTGTCTCACCTTCTCGGACTCCTCTCCTTTTACCATGTCATTATCCAAGCCATCCTCAACCACCTGTTTTGGCGGTGCTGGCCGTGATTTCCTTACCTAAAGTAGTGTGATAAATGAGAGCGCAAAATGGAATTTTATATTTGCTCACTTTTATCATTGAATGTCACTATACTACCGTTTGCTGTATAATTAAGTCGGTATAAGACATTTTCATATAAAGAAAAAGTTTACAAGCGTGCGTGTGTTTTATTGCGACAACAAAAAGCATTCCATGCACTAGTAATTTAAATAACGAAGAGATACCTGAATTATAAATTCTACATCATTCGAAGTGCCTCCATTGGTGTTGCTTATAACATTCTTTATTTGAAGCTTTGCTGGTTTTCTAACATCTGTAACAATAGAGTTTAAATTGACATAAATAAAAAATTGGATTTTTTTAATTATTAATTTTCTAATTAATTAATTAAATATATTATTATCCATATTTTTCGTTTTGATTACTTTCTAATTTGGAAGCATTTTGGGCATCCTTATCTATGGCAGAAAGATCCATTAAGGATGTCCATCCAGTTGTCGCTGCTGATTGCGAATAATTGTTCTTTGTTTCATCTTTCGCCAAATTCGTAGCGGAAGACCACGTCCTTTTGCTCTCGGGACCGCTTTAACATTTATTCGTGATAAGAGTTAATATAATTTAAAATATATGATTTAAACTTTTAAAACGTATTATAAGATATTAGTCAAATTTCGAGAAACACGCTGACAATAAATGCGCGTTATGTAACAATAAGTATTTTATTCAATCTATGATAACAGAACCTACCGCGATGAATCCAAAGAAAGACTAGGCGAAGAAGACGTGATATCTCCGAGACTGTTTCTTCTTCCGCCATGCTCTTTATAGTCTCTGAAGATCAATTCAAACATATAATTCGAGATACGCGTTTTTTATTATCTAAAGTTTTCGCTTTCAAAAATTAATACCTGAAACACCGTTTGCAACGCGTTGGCCACCGTACTTGCGGATGAAAACCCAAAGGGCAAAGAGGATCGCCTTTCTTAGACGAATACATAGAGTGCATTCTGTGTACAAATGTTGTTTTTTTTCAGTTGTACATTTTTATACCATCTGCATTTAAAATTAAACGATTGTATATTTATGTTTTCGAGTAAAAAAGAAAGATAAGAGCAAATAAAAAGAACGTTTAATTATCTCTATAATTAATCTAACGTAAGAGAAATATTTTTACGTCTTAAAGTTTCCTCGGTACAGCTAACATATTTCTATTTATCTTATCTATCATTAATATTATTTAAATGCAAAAAAATTTATAAAAAAGCGTGAAAAAATAAAAAAAAAAGTAAAATGATATTTTAATTTCTTAAAGTACTTTTATTAATAATGCATATTTTTCTATTTTCTTGTGTACATTTATCTCTTAATTGCATTACATGATTGATTTAATAACATTGTTTACGCAAATGCAATCAGAGAAGAGCAAAAAGAAAAAAAAAACTGCAACGCGTGTGAGAAAAATATAAATACAGTTGATACGCTGCGAGATATCTCATCAGAAAAGAAAGAGCAAGGATTTTTGATACATTTGCGAATTTTAATCATCTTTTAATTCTTATTTTCTTATTCTTAATTTATGTTTACATAGGCATCTATCTAAAATTATTAGTGAATTGAAAAAAAAAACCCAAAGCAAGAATTACATTGTTACGCATCATTAATATCCATCAATGTAAAAATGAAAAAATATATATAATTCAAAGATCATTTTTTCATCTATAACACATCTGAAAAATCTAGAGTTATTAAATTTACATTGTTTTAAATTTCTATTTTATAAATTATAGTTTCGAAAAATATAATATTATACGTATTGCCGAGAAATAAAAAAAAAATATTGGTACGGAAAATTGCTAATAACAAAATGATTTTAATTAGCGAATTCTTTGCCGGACTGTACTATCATCTTTACATATTTTTTGCCATGCATACATACATATAAAAAGCACCTGGAAACCATGCATATCGGCGATTTATTTATGAAAATTCAATGCCGTTTTTCCTCTTTTTTTTTTCGATTTCTTATCTACTAAGATAGAGAAGAAAGATAAAAAAGACATTATAAAGAAAACACCGCGTTGTACGATCGCGATAATATCGGCGATTTATTTATGAAAATTCAATGCCGTTTTTCCTCTTTTTTTTCGATTTCTTATCTACTAAGATAGAAGAAAGATAAAAAAGACATCATAAAGAAAACATCGCGTTGTACGATCGCGATCTATCAGTAGTCTATATATCTCTTACGCAATCTATTAGAATCGATTGTACAATGCTGCTACTTACTGGATCGATACCGATATTAATGCACGAATATAGCGGATCCGACGTGAATGAAATTTATCCTAAGCTATGCCAATCGGTCGGTCAGAAATGGGGGTTCGTTGTCAGGGTTTGTTTCATTCTGAATGAACACGATAATCTCATCGTATTTGCGTAATCGGGCAACACTCGCATCGTTTAAAATAGTCTCTCGCAATCTCGTTCCTCCTGAGAAAGAGAAAATTCGTTTCTACACGCGGATCTTACGCATCTCTTCTTTTTTTTACGCGTCTACGTAAGATTCCAATGCCGCGTACATCACTAATAGCACTGACACAGCTCCGCTATTACGGGGTTTATCCGTAGCCGAACTAACTGTGTGCGGGTATATTTTGGACCTACGCCAAAATGTATATTTATCTCTAGCTATAAATATAAGGAAGCGGCGAAATACATTCAAAACTATGCACGCGCGTATATGTATACGTTTATATACGCACGCGTATCTGCGAAACGAAATTCTCTCTATTCAATTTTTCACCTTAATTGCGCGAGCAAAAGCAACACGCCGTGAGTGAACTTGAAGATTAGCAGAATTTAAATTTTCATTTTTTGATCGTACGTAAGAAAGTGATATATTCCACGATGGAATTTGGAAAATTGTCCAATTTGGAAGATTTTTCGTTTTATCTATCTATCTAGAAAAATCTATTATATTATTGTATATATTTTAACGATGCACACATTTTAATATAACACACACATACATAGTAGATCTTTCTTTCGAGATTTTGTACCTCAAGCATTCCGGAGTAATTAATTAGCTGATCAATTCTATGCATTTGCATATATCTGTAGATATTAATAAATTTATTATAAATAGCTTTCGATAATAGATATGTGCCGTGTTATTATTTTAATATTTGCCTATTTTAATCTTCGAACTTAAATAAGATTTTCATATAGAGTCAAAAGAATTTTTGGTATTATGATAAGAGGAAAGAAAATAGTATTGCACGATCACTGCATGAATGATTATAATAAATAAATAATTATATTAACATAAACTATATTAAAAATTGTTATTTTCAAGCTAAACTAAATATTCACAAAATGCATGTTCACAATAAAAAATATGGCGAAAAAAAAAAAAAATATATATATATATACATATAAAAGATAGAAAAGAATTAAAAAACTATTTATTTTTGTCAACTTTTATTAATATTTTGAAACATTTCACCAGTCATTGTACAAAAAAGTATAAACATAGTATATAATACATATCAATATATTTATTATAACACCTTATGATAAAAGTGATTAATATATCGAATGAATAAAATGTCTTAATATTTCATATATATCATGTCATTTATCCCTGACCACTTTAATACAATGAGAATTTATTGTATATTATTGAAATTTATTTTTTTCCAGAGAATAACTCGAAGATTTTAATAAAAAATGTTTTTATCCGCGCTCGATTTTATATTTTCGTATATGTATACATATATTTCAGATATGTAAGAGAAATGTAAAACTAAATTTCTCTTCACAATATTTATTAAGCTCATATCTGTTTTTTATTCTTTTCCCATATAAAGATGTATTACCTTTATCTATAAAAATATTCCATGCTACTCTATAGTTGTATTAAAAAATATGAATTCTTAATGATTATGGAATGCTAAATAAAAAGTTAAATTTTCCGATAAAATGTAAATTTGAGAAATAACTATTTTAACATAAATCGTCAATTATAAAAGAATATTTGATTTATATACATTAAATTATTAAAAAATATATATAATATCTTTTACATGTATTGTAAAAGTGTACCTTGCCAAAAGCTCTACAAATTTTCAATATATATATGATTAGACTCATTGTCTATTTAACAGAAACAAATGAAGCTCAACTTCATATCCAAGAAAAAAGATCTTACTTTTCACAAAAGATTCTTCAAAAAGTTATCTTATCTAGAATAACAAATGATAAGCACAAATCTAATTCATTTATATTGTTTATGATGTATTTATATAACTCCATTCATAATAGAGCAAATAACTGCATATAATCTTAAGGAATGACGATGCAATTATATTATACTTCTCGCAACAATATATAGCTAATTCAAAAATAATTGAGCTGAAAAATAAAATATAAAAAATAATTTATACAATCAATAGTACATATACACTTATATTGGTTAATCGGTACTTAGATGCAAGGTCTTTGTATCTAATTGATCTCAATTCAAAATTTATAAGTTACTTTTTCTCTCTCTCTTCATATATACAATCTTCGTATCTGTAAAAATTAATTGTTTGAGCGATTCTCGAAAGTTTATTATTAATTTGCACAATATTATATTATTATCTTGATTTTATATGTGCTCAAGATACATTTTAAAAATATGTTACAAGATAAAAATACGTTGAATTGAAGAGAGAACTTCTGTATATACTTATATGTCTTGATTATTTATATTCCAGAGATTGTATATTTGTATATATATTGTATTAAAACTATTACATGCAAATATCATATACACGAGCATGTAATATGAAACAAGTTCACTATTAATATATCATAAAAATAACTCTTTCTGTATCTGTCAATATGTACAAAAGATTGTCTGTATCTGTTTATTCCGATTAAAACTTTATCGAGAATTTAGGTCATATAATTACATTCCATGTGATTACATATTGTAAGTATGAAACTCTCGATTAAAAACTTCCCATTTTGATAACCAAATCTATTTGGCAAAGATAAAACGCGCGAGAAAGAGATATGTTTTGTGCATCACGATTATATGCGCCCTATTATATAGCAAATTTCGCACTTCATATATCTTACAATCTTGAGCGAAGCAATTCAATTTTCTTAGCGGCACGTTTCTGCAGATCAGGCAATTTCATAGCGAGTCCCAAGTTTCCTTGAATCTTAACTTTTCCTTGGAAGAAGGCTTTTTGTGGATTCAATTTTCCAGAGATAAAATCGACAATGTCGGTGTCGCTAATCGTAAAAGTGACGTCGGGTTTGATTTTGCTATTATACTCGACTTTTCCTTTACCTGTTTTAGCGTCCACGACCCAATATCCTTCGGCGCCACCGGGGCCGTTTATAACTTTAAATCCGTAGATGCCGCGCACTTTAGCGATTAGATCATCCTCGTCCTCTTCCATTGCGATCGCCAGCGTTTTGAACAGCACGTTTGCTTGGAACATGTTTGGATCGGCGGCGAGATTCACGTGTTTTCTAATCACCGCTTGTTTCGGGAAACCTAAGCGATAAAGAGCTACGACGACCGCACCACCTAAACCTATGTTATGTTGCAGCGCCAATTTCGCGCCCTGCACCTGCCTCTTGCCGGCCTCGCCCCGAAGTTGCCAGCAAAGCTCGGCGCATTGCGCTAATCCCGTAGCGCCCAGTGGATGCCCCTTCGAGATTAAACCACCGCTAGGATTCACGACGTACTTGCCGCCGTAAGTGTTGTTTCCAGAGTCTACCATCTTGCCACCGTGCCCGGCAGGACACAATCCCAAAGCTTCATAAGTGATTAATTCGTTTATGGAGAAGCAATCGTGTAGTTCTATTACATCCACGTCGTTCGGTTTGTAACTAGTCGATGTGAAGACCTTCTCGGCTGCGTTTCTCGTCATGTCATATCTGCAAAGTATTATAATAGCAAATTATTTTTTCGTAAATATCCAAGTGTTTTCGTTAAAGTAAAATGGTTTCTATTTTTTGTACCCGACAATATTCATGCACGAGCGAGTGGTAAATGTCGAAGACTGATCAGTGGACATTTCCATAGCCACAATTTCAACAGCTTGCGACTCTAGACGATGCTTTCGAACAAACTCCTCATTAGCCAGAACAACAGCTGCTGCACCGTCAGAAGTAGGACAACACTGGAGTTTTGTTAATGGTCCAAATACTTTTGGAGAATTCATTATTTGCTCCAAAGTATACTTTTCTTGAAATTGTGAATAGGGATTGTTTATAGAATGCAAGTGATTTTTATATGCAATCTTTGCAAAATGTTCGAACTTTGTGCCATATTTTTTCATATGTTCAATTCCAGCATTACCAAACAGTTGAGCAGTAATGGGACCTTCAGAAATACCTACAATCAAACATGAAATATGTAAGTCATCATGTATCAAATATTATTCTACCTTATATTTTAGAAGTCTATAACTTACCTGCAATGTCTGCCATTAGTTCAACATGTTTATCCATGGGATTCGTACGATCTGAATATTTTGACATTAGTGACCCACGTTCCATCTTCTCAAATCCAAGTGCCAGGACACAATCGGCATTGCCGGTTTCGACAATCTGTTTACCGAGATAAAGGGCTGTGGAGCCGGTGGAGCAATTGTTGTTGACATTGTAAATGGGACATCCGCTGAGCCCGACCTCGTAAATGGCCCTTTGACCGCAAGTGGAGTCGCCGTAGACGTATCCAACGCAGACGGCTCGGACACTGTTGTAAGTTACATGCGCGTCCTGTAAGGCTTTGGTCACAGCCTCCTTCGTCATTTGCGGATAATCGAAATTCTCTCTCCGGCCGGGTTTCTCAAATTTGGTCATCCCGACACCGATCACGTATACCTTCGGTTTATGGACCATCTTGACTATTTCTTCCGATCCAGAAAAACACGAGGAATATGAGGAATACCACACGGGGAATTTCTATCGAGTAAGAGCAAACGCATATAAAAATGCTATGCGACTTTCTTTTGCGTTTCAGATCGCGGAGAAATCGCTAAATTGCGAAAGAACGGAAAAATAAAAAAAAAAGTGACGATGCACGCAGACGTAGCAGCTGCAAAACTGACGGCAATTTGCTGATCTTCGGAACAAACACGTCTCTTGGACTTTAATCTTTAATCCTTTATTGTATTATGATAAAAAGATTGCGATATTATAATGACGAAGCTATTTCTCGGTTATGATAAGTGATGACCAGTCTATGGACTTATGGGTGACAATCACATTCGCTTCGGTGCGATCTACGCTCAAATGATAGACTAGATCGGAGATCGGACGATCGTATTTTTCTCCGAGAAAAATACTTATACCAGTATACCGCACGAAGCGCTACTATGTGCCAATCACAGCTCTCTGATAACGCTGTCTAAAAATGGCCTAATGCGAGTATCTTATCCTTAGAACATATATAAATGGAAGGGGAATAGCAGGCTGAAAAGTGTCGAAGGAAGTGAGAAAGAAATCGTAGTTGCCTCTCTCTTGTGAGTAACTACACATATAAGCATCGTGTCTCAAGTATACATACTTTTGTGACACACACATGGCCGCGCATGCGCACTTTTGAGCAAAGTAACTCACAAGAGAGAGGCAGCTATGATTTTCTTTCTTACTTCCTTCCGACATGTTTTTCTATCGGGAAACAAAGGCATTCCCCTTCCATTTATATATGTTCTAAGATTTTATCAAGTATTTTTTTATCATTATGTAAAGTACATAAATGTTGCATTTGTCTGTACGAGAAGAATATTATAAATTGATTGATAAGACTAATATTTAATTATCATTATATAATCTGTCAATTTGTGTTATATTTTATGCGAAGAGATAAAAGTATATATACGCGGATGGATCTGTATATATAAATTGTGAATGTTTTCTAAATGAAACTTATATACATAATATGAGAAAAATATTATTTAAAAATTGGACAAATTTTTTCAAATGAAGAGTATTAGATATCGATATTTTAATAATGAATTAATAATTTTTAAGATGTAAACAAATAGATTTTTTTCTATTTTACGCACTTCTTTTTAGCTGCACTTCTTTGTTATTTTCTCGTGGCTAAAAAATCATTAATATTGCATGCAATTGCATATATAAGAAAAAGTATAATGTATATGGACATATATGTATATTTTATATATATATAGCACGCGCAATGGCGTAAGCATTCGAAATGTCTACGTCGCTGGATGTTCCGCGCCGGCCATTGCGCGGTCGTGTTTTGGCCGACCGAAAAGATGGCGGACTCTTGTTTTCAAGATCGCTCGCGCACTCGGCACGTCGGAACGCGACTGGCACGGCTTTGAAAAGTAATCTCGCGCGAAAGTTGACATGCTGCACGCGTGACAGTCGCAGCCGCGGTTGAACGTCGTTGTGACAATTCGCGTATGCGATCCCCGCGTCGTCGTCGTAGCGCTCGCTCGCTCATCTCGGCGTCCTCGTCAAAACGAGTAGTTCCGAACGAAGAGCGCAGCTCGCGCACAAGGATTGTCCGAATTCAGAGTGCTGTCCGATCATCTTCACGTCCCGCTCTGATGTGTTGCGGGATCGGAGCAAGGATGCCATCGAGTGGGTGAAGTGGTCGCGCGCCATCGCGGGTTTCTCTAAACTCCCTCCCTCCCCTCTTCGCCCCCCTCATTCCCCCTCCTAACTGTGTGTTTACCGCTCGCCTGCTACGGAGCGCGATTTTGGTTAGGTTGCTCGAGTAAATCTTCCTATACTTGTTTTTATGATACCAGAACGTCGTCGCGCGTGTTTGTCGCGGTGGTTCACGTTACAATGTGACGAGCTATCGTTTTTGTGAACTAATGATCATTGAGTAGCAGTCTCACACGATGGCAAACAGCGATTTTGACATGGAGCTCTTCGAGCGAAGACTCCATACACTGAAAGACTCTCAGGAGTCTATACAAGGGCTCTCTGCGTGGTGTCTAGAGAGAAGACAGCATCACAAAAAGATTGTTGCCACTTGGTTGCAAGTTTTGAAAAAAGGTAAAATCAAATAAGCTTTCAATCCTCACTCTCTTGTATATATTTCCATGATAGGGATAATAGTAAATTCCTTGTTAATATATGTTAGATCAACTGATGTTTTATATAATTTTATTATTTTAAAGATAAATTTCTTTTGTGTGTTACAGTAAAAGTCGAACATCGGCTCACATTGTTCTATCTGGCGAATGATGTTATTCAATACTCAAAGCGGAAGAATTTTGAATTTGTGGAGTCGTGGGGCACTACTTTGCAACGTGCAACAACTATGGTTCGTGATGAGAAAGTAAAACATCGTATATTGAGAATCTTCAAAATATGGGATCAGAGGCAAGTCTACGACGAAGAGTTTCTCGCCGATCTGTCCGGCTTAATTTCGGCAGCACCAAAAAAGAAACTGGATCCCCAGCCAACTTCGCAATCCGAGGAGTTTCAGGCAGCTTTGCTCATCTCTACAATGAGATCTTGTGCGACTCTGGAACAAGCGACTGATGCCAGACTTCGTGACTTAAGGGAAAGTAACATAGACATAGAATCTGCGGAAGAGTTACGTGCGTCGTTAAAGGATAGAAGGCGTATGGAAGATGCGGAAAAAGAAATAGATTTGGTTGCAAGAAATGTTGAAAATTATGTTCGATCATTAGAGGCAGAGATCAGGGAAAGGACACAAGTGATTGAGTTATTGGAACAAGCAGATCAGTTTTATGAAACACAACGTGGGGAGGTTAAAATAGTGACAAATGTAAATGTTAGATTTTGCAAAAGAATTAAATACCAATGATTTGTTATACATATACTGTATGCATTTTTTCGTGAATAGGCGTACCGGAATTTTGGTAGTCGTGTGAAAAATTTGAAGAAAAAATTGGACGAACTGCTACCGACGTTCGTCTCGCCGATACCTTCACCGGACGTGAACGCACCCTCGCCGAGTCCCGATAGCGATATAGAACTCCCAGGAGACGAGATTCAAGTGGCAAATAATCAATTGGGAATAATTGATGTAGCACCACCATCCATCTATGGTTCATATTCTCACGAGTATGATCCTATACCTGTACCTGCACCTGACTCGGTACAAGGCAACGAATCGACGGATTTTACCAATAATTTTCCCTCTTTTATAGGAGGAAACATGGATTTTGGTAATATGGTGAGATAGAGCAATATAGTTGTGGATATATTATTTTATAAAACACAGAAAGTTTAATGACTTTGTACTGTTATAAACAGATAGTATATTATCTTTTTGCTTTTTTTAGAGAAATTTGTTTAATGAAAGATCCACAACACCTCCTGGGATGTCTCAACAGTATAATGAATCTTTGGAGGTAATTATTTATTGTATATTTGCAAGATTGTATTAAAAACATACACATTTTTTAACTTTTATTTTTAGGCAAAACCAATAGAAGTGATTAATATGAGACCATCGAAGAATGAAAACAGCAATGCTGACTTCAATATATCTAGTTTCTTAAAAACAGTTCTTCCGTCTTCCGACGGAACGCCAGATCCGGGTCGAATACCAGGTCTGGGCCTGGACGTTTCTGAGAATCGAGTAGAATCGCCGCAACGCACCAACTATAGAAACTCGCCTACGTTAGGACAACTTCCCGTAACGCCTGTGATTTCAAGAATGATGGGTAGTCAGGGTGTGCCACCCCTTGGTGGGGCTGGTTTAAATAATTGCCAGATGAGTCACAGTACTCCATTGTCGGTTCGCAATCTGCCTGCTGAATCCCACACACCCTCTCCGTATTCCAGTCAAAACAGCCAGAGTAATATGACAGGTCCCTTTGATGGTTCTGCTAACTCTAGTGCAGTTAATCCTTTACCACCTCCTCCCTTACCACCACCCATTTTTCTCGATGACGAAAATTGTTACAACAAATTGCCACCGAAATTTCCCACGTGGACGCCACCGAATGAAAGCGTCAAAGAGTCAGCCAAATGGGAGGAAAAAGGTAGATAAACAATACTTTATAAATATAATTGTTGGTTTCGCCATTGCTGCGTGGTAATACAGGCTGTTTGATATAGCGAATTTCGCTATATGTTCAGGAAAGAACAGCATGAATCCCACGTGGCCCGGCGAATGCGACGATAAAAACAAGAGTTCATGGATGGACCGCGACGGAGAGAGATGGGACTCCAATAATGACTCCACATGGCCAGGCAATGGCAGAACGAAGAATGACATACTATCAGAGACCCCTGAATCACCGCCCATGTATGAGAAAGCTGGCTTCGCCGAGCCGGTGGAATACAATGAACCGCAACCACAAGAATCTCTTAATACCACAGGAGACGTGGATCACAGGTAGTATACAATTAATTTACTTATATATATATAGCATTTTACATAATTGAGTGGCTAAATTATTTATTTATTTATTTATTTATTTCATTTGTACAGAGTGATCCCAATTCCTATGGCTGTCGAAAATCAGCTACCGTATCGTTTGATGAAAGCAGCAGATGTAGATCATCGTAATTTGATTAGTCTAACGGGCAGTCCAGCAAATCACAATCTCGGTGATTCATCATTGCCTTCTTTGCCCAACAACAATAATCTATGGTCCACAAGTGATCAAGATTATCGGTGAGTTCGTTAGGTTAAGTTAAGTTAGATATTATCTCTTCTTTCTTTTCATGTAATATCATGTATATAACTATATATAGATATATTACATTTCTTGTATAATTTATATTTCTTTTCTGTCTCTTGTATATAATTCTTATATAATTTATATAATGTAGGCGACGTATGCAACCCGGTGATATCGTCGAGAGCGTCGATATGGAGATGTCGGATGACGAAACTGATAGCAAGCCAAAAAATAGAGTCCTCGTTGACTTGAGATCGCAGGATCACGATATGCGTGTCGGCATGCCTCCATCGGCTACATCCCATCTCGACATGGATATGCGTATAATTTCTCTTCCCGCCGGACAGATACCAGGCTCTCGTGGTGGTCAGCTCGGACAAGATGTGCACTTGATGCATTCAGGACCGCCACCACCGCCGTCGCTGTCGCAACAACAATTTCAACATCAAGGTCAAGGTGGTTTTCGGCAAGAGCAACCGGAATTCTCTCATCGTAATCAGTCGGGAGATTTTCATCGAAATCAACCGAATTTTCATCAGAACAGATTACCGCCGCCGAACTTTCTGCCGAATCAACAGGACTTTCACCCGAACCAGCAAGAGTTTCATCAGCTTCATCAATCGCAGCAAGATTTTCATCAGTCACAAGACTTTGAGTATCGTGACAGAGAACACACTATTCGGCCCAAACAGGATTTTTTGACCGAATCATCGGGACGCGGTAGATACTCGCAATCGATGGATCATCAACATCAACGCGATAATTCGTCCTTCCATAGAAACGAACGGAACAATCGCGGAAACGGCGGGCGTGGATTTCCAAGGAATCGCCGCGATCGATATTCGGATGATCACAATATGAAGCAACGCAATAATATGGCAAACAATCGTAAATCAAGATCGCAGGATCAACAGCATCAATCGTCGCCGGACACTTTGACCAACAATCGACCGTTGTTACTGCAACCACCCGACACTGTCGTAATCCTAGATGAGGAAGGCATGCCAATTGGTATGCCGGATTTCGATCAGGAAAACAATGTACCATCCAACATAACGGATGCTCAAACAGAGCCGGAACGCGATTCCGACAATTGTCAGAACTCTTCGATGCCACAAGCACGACGGACATCACACGATCCATCGAGTTCTCACGAATCTGAGCATAATCAGCAACAGCAAGGTTACCAAATAGGCCCCGATCACGAGCAAGTACTACCCTCAGTAAAGTCGGATGATCAGCCATCACCGTCGATGAATCAAGTGACAGTTATTCCGATAACATCTGATAGCGTCAGCGATGACCCGCAACAACAAAATCAGTATGTTCCTATTTCAGACTACGAGGAACATGTAGAGTCGGCCGAGCACTCCGATCCTGCGGAGAAGACAAGTGCGATTGACAAGTGCGAGTCGATCGATCAGAGACAAGAAGTGAATTTCACGGAAAACGAACAATTGGACGAGTTGATGAGCTCGACCACATCGGGTAACGAATTGAAAAGACCGTCGACGAATGGTAGTTTTGACGAACAGAGCCACGATGAAGGAAGTTCTAACAAAAAGAGAACTCTTTTGCCGAACGGTCCACAAACGCCGAGTGCTAGCGAGTCATCAGGACCAAACGGTCCTTCGCCGCATGTTGGTACATCGACGACGGAACTGCATCCCGCCATGATGTACGAGTACGACGGGCCGAACTTTCGGCCGCGCCTCGGTGCGCCTTTCCCGCCCTGGCGAGGTGGACCGCCGCCTCCACCTTCCAGAGGGAATAGAGGTTTCAGAGGTGGATTACCGCCACGGGGCCCATGGATGGATAGAGGGCCGCGTGGACCTGCGGCCGGTAACTTTTCGCCGAGAGGACTGAAACGCGGAGGCGGACAGTTTCGGGGCGGCGGTGGCTTCAGAGGCCGGGGACGAGGCAGTAATTGGTAGATAAGCGCAAAATTCGAAAGATTCGACGACGGATCTCAATTACCGTCGTAATCTGACCGAAAACATTACGAAGTGCGTTTTGCACCCTGTAAATATGCGAACCGTTGTGTTTTGACATGCAGACACATATACATACACACGCGCGCATTGCGCGCGTACATACTTACCATACATATACACACACGATTGGCTCCAGATGGAAATCTTCTGTAACGAAGATTCTTCATATCCTTCTGTGTGCGATTGATTCGCCTATATAAATATATAAATAAAAAACTATAAATATATAATATACATATACATATATAAATATACGCATATTACATACATATTACAGATTTCGTTAAGATCTTACAGATATTATCGAAGCGGCTTGAGTTCATGCATGTATATATATGTATGTACACATGTATATGCTATTCGTGGATCAGATAATGATTAAGAAAACATGTGATGAATCAAGTCGTTCGTGGTCGCTCCGATAATGGCTAATCAATACCACCACCACCACCCTCATAGATTTTCATGTAAGGAAAATTTGTGTTATTGATGTACATGCTAGAGGAGGATTGTAATGATAAATCCGTCAAATGAGTAGACTTGTGCAAAGAGAACCGTATTCTGGCGAACTAGGAAGCAAGATTGAGCACTGGAAATCGCAAATAACGATAGTTAATTGATGATTGATAGCTGATTGATAACAACGATTGAAACTAATGTAATTTTGCTGAGTTCAAATTTCCATGTGTATGGAAACTACTAATAATGCGAAAAAATAAATTCTATGTTTGTTATGTACCGGGAATTGAGCTCATCAAAATTGTATCAGTTCCAATTTTTGTGTGTTTTTTTAACTCAATCGTTGTAATTTATTCTTCACGGATCTTCTATTATTTTCCTTCCTCATTCATTTTTGAACATAAGAACCACGATCACCTGTTTCCCCATCTTCAACCTGTCTGACTACGCTGTCTGCTGCTTGAGCTTGAGGTTTATTATAAAAAGAAGAAAAAAAGAAAAATGCAAAAAATACAGGCGTATTAATGAACCACCTAAGTATTTTAGTAAAATGCAGTGTTTACGTTATGGTCCGTTTCGTACATTTTCCCTATTGTTGTTTCTCAAATATATACATGTAGATGAATGTTTCTTAGTAAATCGTTTTCATAATGAAACGGCAATAAATAATTAAGTTGCAGAAAATCAATCTGAAGCGTCATGTTTTCAATTCGTTCTTTATAAACTACAGAATCACATAGAATCGTTTCGTGTATAAGATATTAATTCGAGAGAGAGAGAGAGAGAGATAGGCTATCGATATAAGGTGCTCTTATGTAATTGTTAATATTTTTCTGTAGTTGTGACCAGAAATAGAAATGTAAAGCGAATATAAAGGCCATGCCGGAACGATATGCTTGTTTCATTAGCCGCGCACAAAATTGTTTATTGTCCTTTGCAATTATTTGCCTATTTAGGTATTATCACGTGTCTTTTTAACAAATATGGATACGATGAATTATTAGCCATGCGGATTTCGATTTTTTATTTAGAAATTCTATGAAAATTGATTAATTTTTATTTTTATTGCATTGATCAGTATATTAATTTTTTTTCAATGTTTGCCAATTAGTTTATACTATGTTACGTTCCATTCGGAAACAAGCGAATCGTTGCGATGTATACGATATGGACCGATAGTGAATGCGCATAGGAAACAAGTGTAGCAAAGGCAAAAAGAAAAAAGAAAACTCTGATTATTTAATAAAATAATACCGAGGACCTTTCTCCAATACTCTTAAATTCATCGATACTAAACCGTATTCCTGTTCTCGACGCATTTTTTTTTGAGCGCCATTTTATCAACGCACGTAAATCATCCGCGACTCGTAAATGTGTTATTATGATTATTGCGATAACGCATAAAACGCACACACTCGACGACATATACATTTATTCGACCATATCTTTTTTTTACAAAGATCGCGATCTTAACACACGCGAGTGACCCATTCTTTGTACGTTCTTATTTCTGATTTTCCTACGCGATTAAGAAGATTCAATCTCTTCTGATTTATCGATCCGTTTTGTTGCTCGTCATCTTCTTCATTTTTTTTCGATATCGCGATGATGGCAATTAAGTTAGAGCATCGTTTACCGGCGAGCGAACAAAATAATATTATTTCGATCACCATGTACCACTAACAAATAATAGTCCTCCATAAGGATCGAACACGGAGAAATATGTAAAGTACATGTGGAATATGATCCAATGCGATTTAATAAACGGGGTGGTGTATTCAGATAGAAAAATATATACTTTCGAAGATCTTGCACGATCTACTATTGTATAGTATTGAGTAAATGCATAAAATTCCTCACACGTTTATATTGAGATTTACGATACAGGCTGTCTCAGAGATGTGTAAAATCAGTAATAGAATTATATATATACATATATATATGTATATATATATACATCTTTTTTCCGGAGAAAAAATAAATTTTAATAAAAATCTTTTGTTAAATATCATGCGTAAATTTTAGTGTGTGTATACACTAAAAATTACGTGTTAAAGACAAATATATATGTGATATTTAAGAAAAAGATATTTATTAAATTTATATATATATATAAAATAGACATTTATTTTCCATTTTATCGAATATCTATTTATTATATATTATATAATTAGACAAAGCTGGAGATGCAGCTGATTTGTGTATATATTTAATAATTGTTAATTAACAACTTATTATGAATAAGTAAAAAAATAATGTTCTCTCTATTATTGATTTAAGCTCTTTAACATAAATAAAAAGTTTCTCTATATAATGTCTAGCTGAACAATTGAACATTTGCTATAAATTATAATAAAATAGTATCGAATAAATTGTTTCAATAAATACAGTAGTTCTAAGATATATATTAGCAACAGAATCTTATTTCTTCAGTAATTATTATCTGATTTTATCGTTTTTAAATAGAAGTGTATTTCTAAATTATAGAAAAATTTTTTATTGATAAAAATAAAATATTAATCTAAATAAAAATTACACTAAGAAAAAGTAAATTTGCAATTTAGCTAATTTTCCGTCTTGAAAATAAATTAAAGCTTATCTGAAAAATTTAACATTGAAAATTCTACATATATAAAATTCCTTAAACAAAAATCCGCTTCCAGTCTTTTTGCAGCACTATTATGATACTGATATACATTACATTTGAGGCAGCCTGTTGTATATATATACTGCACTTTTTTTAAGAAACTACATTTTGATTTGAAGTTTTGATAGGAAAGCCATTCTTTGTTATTGAGATAATATGATTTATGTAAAATATTCTAGCTAGAAGTGCCTTTTTTCATTAAAATTAATTTTAATTTTGTATTTTTTGGTGCAATGTAACACATATCTTATTCTCTGATGTGTGACAAAATCACGAGTTCTTCTGCAATTTAATTAAATTAATCGAATATATTTGAATTAAGAGAAGAGAAAATGAGAAAATGAAAAGAGAGTGAGAATGGAAGAGAGAGAATGAGAGAAGAGAGGGTCGGTGGAGGGGGCAGAATAATCGATCCGAAACTCTATTAATAAGCGAGGCTCGATTATCCCAGTGAATTATTTTGTACATTAATGTTTAATTATTTAATTCTAGACGAATGTTAACGAATTTTATATCTCGATATAAAATGAATATGCATACTGTGTATGCGATAAGTTTTGTACATTGCCTTATTAAAGAGATTGACGTTTATTAACAATTACGTTGGCAGCAGAAATTTATTATCCTAATTATAATTTCACATATTAATGGTATATTGATATACCAAGCAGACATACGTTGTATGTTGATGTTAATTATCCGTTAAAATATTGATCTAAATTTTTACGTAATACTGGAATTATAATTAGAGGATTTTTATGATCTATGAGGTATGAATAAAAGTATGAAGCAAATATACGGTAATAAATATTTTATTGATCGTTTGATATAATCACATTTTAGTGAATTATTTTTATAATATTTAAAAAATATATATACAAAAGATATTTACAAATAAACAATTAAACGATCACTTTGCCGTTACTGCATTTGATATAAAAATAAATGCGTTATCTTTCTTCGCAATCTCGGTTTTGTATTTCGTGATACGCAATTGCAACCGTAAAATGAGTCGCAAAACACTCAGAAAAATAGACGAACACAAGGAAAAAAATGAGATGTCGTCAAATATGCCTTAAAATTATATAATACACATTTACTAATATTTTCAATATTATTTTGAATTATTTGCTTGCTTGAACCATGAAGCGAAAAAAAAATTTCTTTCCGTTATGGAATTTCTTATTGCGACGTACCGTCATCTACATGGTCGACAGAGAGATATGTGCGTATTTTAAAAGTCAAATATTAAATTATATTATTTCGCGATTGTATTACTCTGTTTTTGATTTAACAGATACAAATTAATGAATACGATTGATCAGTATCGCTCTTTTCACGTAACAAAATATAGTACAGAAATATTCAGTGAAAAGTATTGTTGCATATGAGAAGCGAGCTGGTCCAATATATCGCGATTAATAATTACTGTGCACATGTAAAGTAACACGATGCAGAAAAAACATCGTATACATCTTTCGAACGCTGTACAATATAACTCTCTTGTATATAATAAAAACGTCGTTAATTACGTACAATATAGGTATATAGATCTCTTTCATCTTTTGATTAGCAATATGACACGGCAATAAGTGTGGCCAGTGGAAATAATCGTCATTATCGCGATATATCTCGAGAGTACAACCTATATAAATCACTTGAGGTATATTCTCTTACGTTATTTTATCATCGCGCGTTATCTCCCGCGCTTCTCATTCTTTGGTCTCTTGCACTTTCTTTGGTTTCTCTCCGGTCTTGCTTCCTCAAACATTACAGAGTGTAACTCGTAGGTCGCTTCTTATATATTTAAACAATGCCATTATTTTCATCTCTGTATCGATTATTTTTATTTACATTGCGAATATCGATATATTGCATGTAATGTTAAAAAAATTTTGATATGAATATATCTTTACACAAATATGTTAATATTATCCGATATTACATGTCATTATATATATAATTTTATAGAGTGATGTTTTTATTGTGTTTTATCTCATTTTCTGCGACAATGGATATGTTTTCAAAAGTAGAATAAAAAAGATATTAAATGAGAGATTAGATATGAGACAAGAGATTCATCTTAAAAGGATGTTTTCATTGCTACTCACGTTTTTCTCGTGTCACCACTATTAATTTATAATGTATATGTTACAGAAATTCCTTTTATATAATTGTTATCATTGGAATCATTTCAGTCATTTAGAAACAAATATCATATATAACAGTAGAAAACGACTGTTCGGTTACACCCTGTATGCTTTTACACGATTTGTCGATCGAGAGATATAGTTTGATCATTAAAATTAATCCGAATCATCATTCGTCGTTTGTCATAAACTAGTGCTCTCTTCCTCCCCAAAATCCGCCTTTTCCAACATTCCTTTCTCATCGACACCCACAAAGTACGTCGTGACTTTTCCTTTTGGTTTGACGTACGTTTCACCACGTAGATGACACTTGACACCCTGCTGTTGCAAGACGGCAGCCGTATCCACTGTCACCTGACAAATCGAAATGCAGATCACAATCGATTTCACGAATTTATTGTCTTGTGAATAGTAATAAAAATTCTACTTGTATTTTTCCAGGTAATCCGGTAGTGTCCATTCTGGATGCCATATTTACGGCGTCGCCCCAAATATCGTACAAGGGTTTTTGAGCTCCCACGACACCAGCCGTCACTTCTCCGTGAGAAATTCCGATTCTCAATCTGAAAGATCACGTAAGAGAGATTTCATATGTATAATTAATATATAATTCCTTAGAAAAAAATAACAGTCGTCGTTAAATTTTATATATACATTATTATAGATCATTATATCTTAATTAATTCGTCACAATTCTTAACAATTTTGCTCGCCGCTTTTTATGTGCCTGCTTACAATTACTCACTTGTAAGGTTTCGATGTGGTGAAGGATCTCGCAATCATTTTATCGAGCACAGACATCATTTGTACGGCGAATTGCGCCATCACCTTGACCACATTGTCGTTGGAATCCTCTTCACTCTCGGTGCTATGCATCGAATTGCGTCGGCTAGCTTCCAACCCACAAGCTGCCATATATGTTGTTCCTAAATAGAGAAACAATAATATAGAGAAATTTTGTAATTTCTTTTTTTACATTCTTTGCTAGTAGATTTATTCTGAAAATTTACTAAAGTAATTTTTCAGAATAATTAAATGAAATATATATCAAATCATCTATTTATATATAATTCAATTTATATGAT